ACCAAAACTTCCAGGCCTGGGCTGGTGCCACCTCCTCCGGAAGTCTTTCCTGGTGGTTGGTGTCTCTTGCCTTCCTCTTCCCACCTTGCCCAGGTCTATGGTTTAATTTTAAAAGATTTTACTCTGTGTCTGTGCATGTATGATGTGTGTGTGGATGTATGTGTGTATTTGCATGTATGTATGTGGACGTGGGATGGGAATTTTTGTGGAGGTCAGAGAACAACTTGTGGTAAGTGATTCTCCCCTTGCATCATGTGGGTTCAGAGAATGAACTCAGGTTCTCAGGTTTGGTGGCAGCGCCTTTACCCAGAGCCATCTTCAGACACAGTATTGTGTCAAGGCTGTTTCTTTTAGAGCCGCCACCCAGCTCTTAAATCATGACACAGCGACGTATTATTAGTTTTGAATGCTCAGCATTGCTCAGGCTCCTGTCCAGCTAGCTCTTTTAACTTAACCTGTTTCTCTTCATCTGCATTTTGCTTTGGAGCTTTTTACCTTTCCTTTCTTCTTTCTTTCTTTCTTTCTTTCTTTCTTTCTTTCTTTCTGTCTTTCTGTCTTTCTGTCTGTCTGTCTGTCTGTCTGTCTGTCTGTCTGTCTCACTTTCACTGCTTCCTGTGTCTGCTGGCTGGCCGCTGCTGGGGTTCTTGCCCCGGGCATGTCTCCCTTTCTCCTCCTTACTTTCTCCTTCCTCTGGAACCCAGCTTTCTCCTCCTATTTATTCTCTCTGTTCAGGGCTTATCCATCTTCTGCCCAGCTGTTGGCCCTTCAGCTTTTTATTAGCCAATCAAGTGCCTTAGGCAGACAGGATGAAACAAATGTAACACATCCTTATGTAATTAAGGAGATACAGCACAGACAAATGTAACAATCCTTACATCGCTAAAAAATATAAACAAATGTAGCACACCTTTACCTAGTTAAACTAATATTCCACAACACAGTATGCCTTAACTTTGGAAGCTGAGTTTCCGGAGGTCATAGATTTCTGACCTGGAGTCCGGGAGCAGCTTTATGTAGCTTCCGTGTAGAATTAGTATACTGCTCTTCCTTCCAGGCCCTAAGGAACAGTCATATTCCCAACCTTACACCTCAGTCTCTATTTACCTCCACAAGACATCAAGTTGCTAAGGCAGTAACTTTGGATAAGGCAGAAATAAAGGTGCAGGCAGGCATGGTGACTGGTTGATCTCTGCAAGTTTGAGACCAGCTTGGTCTATCTACATAGGGAGTTTTCAGGCAGTCGGGGCTACCCTGATCTCAAATAGAGAAAGGGAAGAAAGAAGAAATGAAATGAAGGGGTCCCCAGACCCAGGTTTCATCAGACTAGGATGTCCACAACAAAAGGCCTGAGTGTTTGACACACTTCCTAGTTTACAGCTGCTGCAGATATATTGAAAGACAGGCTGAGCTTCAGACAAAGGCACAACAGCCTAGGAATTATCATAACCTGGATCAGAAAACCTAGAGTCAAGGACACAACACCAGCCACTGACAAACAACTTTGAGATCCTGGATGGAGGTGAGACCAACTATCTACCTAAGCTTTCTGCTTGTCAGTAGAATTCAAATCTGAAACCCAATCTGTGCATTCATAGCTATCTGAGTTTGGGGGTTTTGGTTTTAGTTACTTAAATATCCATTTTCTTTGTTCCCTGAATGAGATTGTTTATCTGTAGCAATTCCTCTGAAGCTGGGCTTCATGGCCCACTGGATCTAGGGTGACAGTAACAGCCAGTGTTCACAGAGGTTTGCTGTGCATCAGGCATGCGTTAAGTGCCCATTCTCCATCTCATTTAAGCCGTGCTAGTGATGATCAATTCTTCAGCAGAAGTAGCTGGGAGAGTTTGCCCTCAGTTCTGCCAACACCGAGGCTTCTCAGTTCTCCACTCATCTCCACACGACTAGGAGGAAAGGCACCTCCACCGTGTCAGAGTATAATCTACACGTTCTCACCTGCTTACCTATAAACCGGGGTTTGAAGAAAGTCTCCCCACCTCTGGTAGAGTAGAAGGCACTGTCATTAATCCAAGAAAGGGTGAAATTTTATTCTCCTATTCCCAAGAGTTCATAAATTGCTTACAGCTTATTTGAAAGGCAGTAAACAGAGCCCCAGGAGGCACACAGGCTGGGGAGGCGAGTTCACTCCAATTAGTCCAGGCTCCTGGGTAGACTCCCAGAAGCCTGGCCTGTGATGATTGCCCACCCTGCAGGTACAAACCTGGGCTCTCCTACCCTGCCTTCAAACTTCAAAGACAGCAGCCAGTCCCTCCCTGGCACTTCCTCTTGGGGTTGCTTGCTAACTAACCTGTAAGAGTAAGAAGGGAGACCTGGTATGGTGAAGGGAGGCAGACAGACTAGGCCAGGGAGGGCTGTGGGGTGATTTAGAGCCTTCTACCGAAGTCCAGAAGATGAGGCAAAGGGTCTGAAAAGCAGCCGAGTTCTCTTTTAAAGCAGAAAGGAAAGAAGAGAAAGCCCTTGTCTGATTGGGACGTGGTAGAGATACTTTGCCTAGCAATTTTCAGTGTCTCCCTCCTAGAGAAAGGCAGCCAGACCCAGACAGCCAGACCCAAAGGAAGTCAGAAGCTTACAGCTGGTGGCCAGTGGTCCAGCCTGCTTGCAGGGAGCAGTTGACAAGTGAGCACTTGGAGGCTTGGAATGTTCCAGGGACTGGAAGAGTTTGCTCAGACCCCTCAACAAGGCAATTGGACATCCATATGGAAACAATAAAATAGATCTCTATCTCACAGCAGGCCCCTGATCAGTTCCAGATGAACCAAAGACCCACAGGGAGCTAGGCGAACTATCCCAGTGCCGCTGGAAAAAAGTACAGGGTAGATGTGGGGCTGTGGTACTAACAGGCCATACACACATAAAGGTAAGAGGGGTGGGATCCACACAAGGATGAAATGGCAAGCTGGGGCTGGGGTCCGCTTGCTCCGAGGGCGGGAGGGGAGAACAAAAGCAGCCTATGATACCGTTGCTTTTCCCACGGAGCCATCTCACCAACCCAGCCGAATCTTTTCTTTTCTTTTTTTTTTTTAAGAGAGCGAATTTTTTTATATATATATTTTTAAATACAATATTCTGTCTGTGTGTATGTCTGCAGACCAGAAGAGGGCACCAGACCCCATTACAGATGGTTGTGAGCCACCATGTGGTTGCCGGGAATTGAACTCAGGACCTTTGGAAGAGCAGGCAATGCTCTTAACCACTGAGCCATCTCTCCAGCCCCCCAGCTGAATCTTTTCTAGGTGTAAAAACTAAGTCATAGTCTGAGACAAGAATAATCAAAACTGGGTTTCTCCGTGTAGCCTTGGCTGTCCTAGAACTCTCTTTGTAAACCAGGCTGACCTCGGACTTAGAGCTCTGCCTCTCTGTGCTGGAGTTAAAGGCACGTGCCACCACTGCCAGGTTGTTTTCGTTTTTTTGTTTGTTTGTTTGTTTAAAGACAAGGTCTTGATTTGCAGCCCAGCCTGGCCTAATCTTTCTTCTTCAACTAACCCGAGTGCTGTGATATCAAGTGTGTAACACCATGCCTAGCTGTAGAAAATCTTCAAATGCCTGAAGGAGACGATCCAAACAGCAGGCAATTCAGAGAGGAAGAAACCCCAGGTATAACAAAAGTGGAACTGGCAGGTGGTAGCAATCTCGTTAGTGCCGGGCTGCCTGACCCTGAACTGCACTCAGAGAACTCAGAGAACTCGTTTTTCTTCCAAAGGACAGGAAGCTGGGTAGGAGAGTTCACCAGAGTTCGCTGTGGCTGTGATAACTAGAAACAATAAATCACATCAGCACCCATGGGACTGACAAAAGTTACCACCTGATACCAGGTACAGATGCAGGTCCAGCAAAGCAAGAAGAGCCTCGGTTGGTGTCGGTTGGTGCCACAGTCTACACAAAGTGAGAAACGTGTAACAGCTTCCTCTCAGACTAAAACATCCCATCCTACAGGAAGCTCCTTCAGCAGGGCAGTAAACAAGTCAAAATAACTTGAGGAAGTCCCTGAAACAGACTAGATCCACACCCCCCCACCACCACCACCCTGCAGAGGCAGCAATAAAAGCTGAGCCTGCCCATGAAGGAAGAATACCCTTGCTCTATTCATCCCTGGAATACTAAAATGCAGCTAAAAAGAGCAACACAGTGGGAATCCAGTTCAGTGGCAGAGGCCTTACTTAACATAGGTGAGCCTTGGATTCCACAACCAGCACCACAAAAAGAAGGAAATGAGCTGATTAGATGGCACAGTGGGCAAACATACTTGCCATGCAAGCCAGAAACATGGCTTTGATCCCTGGAACCCACATGGTAGAAGGAAAGAGCCAACTCCTGTAAGTTGTACTCTGACCTTCACAGGTATTCCATGGTATTTGCCTGCCTGTTTGTGTGCGCACACGTGACATACATACACACATAATAATCATAGAGGCTGGAGAAATGGCTCAATGGTTAAGAGTACTGTTCCTCTTGCTGAAGACCTGAATTCAAATCCCAACACCCACATGGTGGCTCACAACCATCTATAACCCCATTCTGGGGATTTGACCCTCTCTTCTGATATTTGTGAACTTCAGGCAATCACATGGCACATATACATATATCGGACAAAACACTCATACACATAAAATTTAATCAAGTAGATAGTATATGGTGCCAGGAATGCGGCTGACAGCATGGTTGCTGAGTGCCTGCAAGGCCTTGGGCTAGCCTCATCAAACTCTCTCCCCACAAAATAAATATTAAATTTTTTTTAAAAAATAAGGTATATATGATACATGTGTATATACTATACATGTGTGTGAGAGAGAAGGAAAAAAACTAAATTTACATATAGAAACATGATGAAATCGCCACAGTTCTACTGTAGGGAGAAAGAAAAAACTAGGTTACTTTTATTTGCTGTTATAATCTGATGCACTTATATAAGATTTCAAGTCCAAAAAATACAAAACCATGCTTGTATATTTGAAATATTCTGTAATTTAAATGAAAGGGGAGCTGGATCAGTGGTACACACTTTTAATCCAGCACTCAGGAAGCAGAGGCAGGGGGAGCTCTGTGAATGCCAGGCTAACCACGGCTACATAGTGAGACTCCATCTCAAAATAAATCAATAAGAGCCAAGTGTGGTGCCACTGAAATCGGCTCTCAGAAGGTGGAGGCAGTGACATCAGGAGTTTGGGGCTGGAGAGACAGCTCAGCAGCTAAGAACACTGTCTGCTCTTCCAGAGGTCCCGGCTTCAGTTCCCAGCACCCACATTGCCGCTCACGACAGTAGCCACCGAAGGAGTAACATGCCACACTGGTAAGCCATAGTCTTGTGGCAATACACAGATTAATAGAAATGGGAGAATTTGATAGGTAGAGCTAGTTTGTAAGAAGCCCAAGACACTGGCCAAACAATTGTAACTGATCATAAACCTCTGAGTGCTTATTTCATAAGTGGCTTCAGGAATGGGCAGGTGGAGAAAAACCGGTCCCCTGGGACCAGCGAGATAGAGAATACTTCTAGCTTCACACAACTGTCTGCAATTCCAGTTCCAAGGGGATCCCACATACAGACATACATGCAGGCAAAAGACCTGCCCATAAAATAAAAATAAATCTTATTAACTAAAAAGGCCAGGATTTCGAGACCAACTTGGGGTTCCGTCAGCTCCTGTCTCTAAACAAAATAAACAAGCATAACAGTAGAAACAAAAGATCAGTCGCAGTAAGATATTGCTTTGTGGCCACTGGGATGGTTTGTATCAAAAAATAGAGAAAGTTTTATGTGTTGGCATTATTTTCCTGTAGGAATGTAAAATTTTGCAGATGCTGTAGAAAATATTATGATGGCTCCTCCAGAAGATAAACATAAAATCATTTTCTGATCCAACAATCCAACTTCTGAATATATGTCTAAAAAGAGAGAGAGAGAGAGAGATTGACAGAGCTACAAAAAAAGGATTGTCAGACTAGACCGGCTCCCTGGAAGAAGCAGAAGCCAGGCAAGCTGCCCAGAAGAGGCTCAGACCCCCTGAGTCAGTGGGAAAGGACGCTTTCCAGCCTGGTGAGCTGCCTGTGCAGTGTGAGCTGCCAGTTGTGCCGGTGTAGGCTTTGGTGATGTGGTTGTCTTTGAATCATCTCTGCTCCTGTAAGTCACCCCTCGTCCCTATTCCTATCAGTAGCCCCAATAAAACTCATTGATTCACCAACTTGGCCTTTGGTGCTATCTGTACTATGGTCTGTTTGCTGTGGGCTCCCTGTCTGGGGTGAGTAGATGTGCGTTGTGTTTCCCCAGGAAAAGTTTTATCACAAACACACAGGTGCTGGGAATCAAACCCAATTCTCTTAACTCCTGAGCTATTTCCCCAATCGCAATGGTTTTTGCTTGTTTTTAAGTAAAAGGAGAGCTGTAATTTTAGTCTGAGGGAAGGCACTAGCCTCATGTGAGAACAAAGTCCTAGATTCTGTTTCCAATGTCACAAGAAGAAAATGAAGAGGGAAGAGGAAGCCATTGAGAGAAGAATGGATCAAAAACAACTTTTTATATGTTATATATATATATACATATATATATGTAATTAAAAAGTATTATTCAATCTTTTTTGTTTGTTTTTGTTTTCAGAGACAAGGTTTCTCTGTGTAGCCTTGGCTATTCTGGAATTCACTCCATACACCAGGCTACCCTTGAACTCAAGAGATCTGCCTGCTTCTTCCTCTTGCATGCTGGAATTAAAGGCATGCGCCACCACTACCCAGTGATACCTGAAATAAATGGACAGGAACAAAAGGAAAAATGCTGCATGCCGCCACTTAGGTACACAGAGGCAAAGCCCTAAGACAGAGAGGACAGCCACTGTCACGGGCGCGGACCATCCAGGGGTACGGAGTTCCAGTCTGGGAAGATGGAAGAGTTCTGACTGGGTGGCACAGGGCTGAAATGCTAGGACTTGAGAAACACCAGCAAGAGGATCAAGAGTTCAAGGTTATGGGCTGCAGAGTGAGGCTGAGCCCAGCCTGGGCCACATGAAACTGTACGCCTCCACCCGCCCCCAAAAAAAATCAAAACAAAAAGTTCTGAATAAGGTCATGATCATTAAAAACATGATAGACCTTCATGCCACAGAACAGTACACTTT